GCCCCTCCCGTGAGCTGTTGCTGTAGGTCACCCGCAGAGGGTTTGGGGTCCGGGGTGTTTGGGGTGGGGGATGGAAAGAGCACCCCCACCCCATTTCCTATTGAAAAGGGGGAGCATTGAAGACGACCAGGGGACAGCCCAGAAGCTGGTGTACCGGCTTCCTCTCCCTCCTCCCCCACCCCCCCAGCATCATTTTTCTGAACGTGAAATATTCCGAGCTGCACCCTTAGTTGGAAAGCCCGCCCCGAGAGTGAGATGGAGACCCGGTGTGTGGGACCCCGGTGTGATTGTATAATAATGATGATATAATGCTAATGACGATGATGACACTGCCTTTTATTTTTACCCCAGTGCTGAGAAAGCATGGCCACAGCTGGGGGTGAAGCCCTTGAAACATTTGATGTATGGGGAGGAGATGCTGTTGCTTTTGGAGTTGTGGTTTTTATTTGGAAAGATAGGCTTTTTAGAATTAAAATGTGGCAATATGTAGCTTGACTTTTTTTTTTTAAGTCCTTTAGAGCCAATTGTAGTAAAACGGGTACTAGCTGCTGCCTTGACGAATGAAAAGCTAAACGCTTTTACCTGGGTATAATTCCATGAGTTAAGTCACCTTTTTTTCCTTTGAATTTCTCAACAGTTTTTTTAAAATGAAGAAGTTTAATTTCCGAAAAGTTTTGGACGGCTTCACTGCCTCCTCCCCTGGCAGTGGGAGCAGCGGCGGCAGTAACAGTGGCGGTGGGGCCGGCAGCGGCGCCCCGCACTCGGGAGGGCCCGCGGGGCTTCTCCGAGAAGAGATTCAGGAGTCCCTGACCTCGGAGTATTTCCAGATTTGCAAGGTAAGTTTTGAATTGGCTTAAAGCCTGTTATTTCTTTATTTTACCGTGTGAGGAAGGGAGTGTTACACACACACACACACACACACACACACACACACACAACTGGAAATTGTTGAGATGCCAGCATCAGAGTCTGGTACAGAGAACTGTGTGGATAGGTCAGTTTGATTTAATAAAGGTATTCCAGGAATCAACTTAAAAAACCCCCACAATGTTAGTTTAAGGGGGAAATAAGCAAACATAAAACGTAGAATTTGCAGGATAATGTTAAGGCCCACTAGTGGAGAACATTTTTAATGTAATATTTGTGTGGAAGTTGTAAATTGAAGGAAAAAATCGTTATTCCGGATAGTCCTGTGATATTATTCAGATAAATTAATTGTTATTTTATTTCACTGTTCAGTAAAATGAATAATGCTATTAAGATGATGTTAGAGCTAATTAGATAATAGCTAGATGAATACATCTATTTTAAAAATCTATGGCATTGTTTTAAATGCATTGTTTAAATTCTGAATAAAAACACCCCAGAGCCTTAAACTCTAAACAAATTAACAAATGCCCGGGGCTTAATAACTGTGGGAACTTTTAATACTTAGAAGAACTCAAAAGTAGCCTGTGTTCTGGTTTAGTGGGGAAATATTTTTGGTAAATATACTTTAATGTCGAACTTCTAATGAACAATCACAAGAGAGTTTCTGATGGGGAGAGATGAGAACTTACAAATCAAGCATTGTGATTATAGAGAGGTATTGTTATATTTTCTGAAACAAAGTGACATAATTTTTATTTTCCTTTTTTTGGGGTGTCCTAGGATCTGGCATGTGTAATAAAAAAGCTATTACATTACTCACATGATTTAGATGAATATAGTTTTATAAGTGTGTTTGAATACATAAGAACAAACAGTAAATTTTTAAAATCCTCACCCAAAGATACACTTTGTTTTTGTTTTATTGATTTTAGAGAGGGGGGGGTAGAGAGAGAGAGAGAGAGAGAGAAACATTGAAACATTGATGTGTGAGATTAGTTGCCTTCTGTATAGGCACTGACTGGAAATCGAACCCGCTACATTTTAGTGTGCAGGACAGTGCTTCAACCCATGAAACCACCTGGCCAGGGCAGAAGCAGCAAATTTTGAAGTCACAGAAATTAAGTATTAAATTTTTTGTACTTCCACAAAATCTTTTAAAATTATTAAAATTAGTTTTGTAATAAACAAATTGTGTATAATGAGATAAATTTCAATTATTGTGTTAGTCTCTATTCCCAGTAGCATTGTTATAAAACATTAAATCTTTAGTTATTAAAATGTTGTAAATTGGTTTGCATAAAAGGGAGTGTATTTATAATTAGATTAAATAAACTGATTTAATTATAGCCTACATTGTGTACACAATTTTGTATACCTAGTATACAAAATTTTATATAATTTTGTTCTCAATTTGAAATAATACATATTTGCTCAGATTAGGGAGGGGCTAAATAGTGGTCATGAGGTAAATATGTAAAAGAATCCTGGAGGCCAAATTTGGACTGCTAGCCAAGGGAATTATGCCCTGTTTCTCTAATTTTTGATGTATTATTTTTTCCATTTCAAAATTATGAAAAAAATTTCCAAATTCTCTCAGTTCATGAATGTGGTAGTGATGGAGGAGGATTTTAGTAGATGAAAAATTGGCATAGAAAAGGTAGACTTCTAAAACCAATGGAATCGGGTTGTTGAAGTTATAAAGCTTGTAGAGAAGATTTTAAATAAAAATATTCAGGGGAAATGAGTGAATGCAAAAGAAGAAAATAGGATTATAGACACCTTCCTATTCAGACGAGATAGTCATGGTGTCGTAGGAAGAGCACTGGCCTTGGAATCAGAACATTTGTATTTTATGTAAAGCTCTGCCACTTGACAGCTGTATAATCTTTTTAAAAAAAATATAT